TTAAGGAGAGAGCAGGAGAAGAGGCTATGTTAAAAATAAAGAAAATAGCAAAGATTTGTGGCTTCCAAATGTCACACAGTGGTAGATTACAACCAGAATTTTGGAGGAAATTGCTTATTGACAAAGAGGGCTTTTTGTTGGATAATGGGATAACGAAAGGCTTGGTATCGGGTGGCAAGAGGACTCAAACGGGAGGGTTGGTTAGAGGAAGAACTAGATTTTGGAGGACAATCGATTTATGTATATCACAGAAATGTTTGTAATGATGATTCATCTCTTGATGTTCCCCAGCCACCGCCCTATGATGGCGCCCAACACAAGACTCCGCCTCCCCAGCCACTACCCAGTCGTCACCTCCAATTGGCGTAGGCTCCTCTGTCCCCACCCCTCTGTACCCCGTCCTCGGGGCAGACGGATCTTATTACTATCCCGTCCCTCTCCCACCTCCCTCTGTTTTTGCCACTGCTCCCGCCCCATTCCCACCTCCCTCTGTCATTCCTACTGTTCCCATCACTCCCCCACCTCCCTCTGTCATTCCTATTATTCCCGCCTCGGTCCCACTATCCCAGCCCCTCTCCCACTTCCCTCGAGTCCTGTCTCTCTTCCACCTTCCCCTGTCGCTGCTGAACCCATCCCTCTTCCACCTTCCTCTATCACTTCTTCTGAAATCACCCCTCTCCCACCTCCATCTGTCATTCCTTTTATTCCAGCTCCCCTTTCACCTTCACCCATTGCCTCCCCTGTCACCGCTCTTGTTCCTTTCCCTGTCATTCCTTCTATTCCTGCTCCCCTCGGCCTTCACCCATTGTTCCCCTTGTCACATCTCCCTCTGCCATATCCCCCTTCGACCAATCTTCCTGTGCCATTCCCTCTGCTCCTGCATCGCCCTCTCCTCTCCCCATCACCCCTTCCGTCCCAGTTTCACCTTCCCCTCCCCTTCCAGCCTCCAATCCCGTAGTCCCTCCCACCCTTGATCTTTCATCACTCATTTTCGCCCTCTCCGCTCATCTCCCTCAGCTTACTCAGACCCCGTCACCTCCGGTTATGACTATCACTTCCCCTCCCAGCACCCTTCCAACCATTTCCTCTTCCACCCCCTCACCCAGTCCAGTTCCTGTCTCCACCTCCCTCATGGCGGCTCTCAGTTACCAAATCTTGATAGTTGGGTCGAATGAATCTGTTGCATCAGAACAACCTCATGCTGTAGGCGCCTCTCCTGCTGCATCAGGCTTTCATCCCACTACCCCTTCACCGCTGATGGCCAGGTTCAATTATAAACCCCCCTTTCTCACAAAGATACTTTTGTTCTTTGCTCTTTGCCCCTACTGTTACACATGACTTCCCCCTCCGAGGAGGTAAGGGTCCCAGATGCCCCCAGTGCCCTGGAGAGGGTCCCAACCAAACTTTGGTCTACAAGCCCAGATGACATTGAACGCCTAAGAGTCCCACCCGAGTTTGCCACGCTACTAAAGGGAGCTAATCCACCACGAAGACCACAGTACCCATTAAAGCCTGCACAAGCCCTTGCCATCTCCAAACAAGTTGAAAGTCTGTTAGCAAAAGGTGCTCTGGTAAAGTGTGTGTCAGAGTCTAAAACCCCTCTATTTCCAGTGAAGAAGAAGAAGACTAAAAAAGGCCAACCTGACCAATACCGTATGGTTCAAGACCTCTGCGCTGTTAATGATGTCACCAACCGAGACACTGCTCTTGTCCCAAATCCACATACCCTGTTGTCACAAGTCCCTCCAACAGCTAAATTCTTCACTGTGGTTGATCTTGCAAACGCCTTTTTCAGCGTGCCCTTGGATCCCTCTTGCCAATATCTGTTTGCTTTCACACATGATCGCCAACAGTACACTTGGACTGTCATGCCTCAAGGTGCACAAAATTCCCCTACTCAATTCGCCAAAGCTATGTCAACTGTCTTAGAACCTTGGGAGAAGTCTCACCCTGACATGGTCCTGCTCCAGTATGTGGATGATTTACTCCTCTGTGCAGATGATCTTCCAACTGCTGAACAAAATTCTGAAGATCTCCTTTGTTTCCTCGCTGAAGAAGGATGCAAAGCCTCCAGAACGAAACTTCAGTGGCGCCGGCCCTCTGTTGTCTTCTTGGGACATTGCCTTTCCCATGGCACACGTCACCTAACAAAGAACAGAGTACTTGCTATTACCAAGCTCTCTCTTCCGTCTACTCACCAAGCTCTTCATGCCTTCTTGGGCCTCATCACATACTGCAGGTCTTGGATCCCTGAGCCTTCTCAGCTCATGCAACCTCTCTATGATGCCTTGAAGACTGAACCCTTTTCATTGTCTTTAACAGCTCGCTCCAGCTACTATGCCCTTCAAAGGGCCATCTCCTCTGCCCCAGCTTTGGGTCTACCTAACTATCAGCAACCATTCAAACTTTTTGTCTCTGAAAAGATGGGCCATGCTTCAGGGGTCCTTACACAATCACATGGTTCCCGTCAATGCCCTATTGGTTATTTCTCATGCATGCTGGACCCCGTGGCTCGAGGCGGTTCCTCTTGTTTACGTTTGCTGCCAGTACCCTGCTGGACAAAACTAATGACTTTGTTCTCGGACATAAACTCACTGTGCTTGCTCCCCATGATATCACGGCCATCCTGAATCAAGTCCAACCGAAATATCTCTCCTCCCAGAGACACCTCTGCCTTCAAACCTCATGCCTTCAAACCTTCAAGCGCATGATTTTGGCTTAATCTGGAAAACAAGGGGGTTTCTTACGGCAGCAGGTACTCCGGTGAAACATGGCGCAGCTATCAACGAATTAATGGATGCCTTACTGCTCCCTGAGGAGGTAGCCATATTGAAGGTAAAGGCCCACGGGAGTTTGAATTGCATGTGGCAATTACTTAGCCGATCAGGCTGCTAAAGATGCGGCACGCCAGTGTCAGGAAGTGGACATAAGAGTGCCCGTTGAACAGACTCCTAGTTACACTATGCAAACCCTACCTACCGATCTCAAGTTCCTGAGAGAACAACAGGCCGCTGCCACCCCTCAGGAAAAACAAAGTTGGAAAGATAAAGGGGCAACCCTCCAGAATGAAGTGTACACAATCAACCTCAAATTCTGTCTACCCAAGAATATGTACCCAGCTGTTGTTCAGTGGGCCCATGGACCAGCCCATTTATCCAAGCACCTCATGAACTCCCTGATTGATAAATATTTTGAGGCACCCGCAATCACTACTTTGACAGGAAATTACTGCAGATCCTGTACTATCTGCGCCAGATGTAATCCGGGAAAAATAATTAAGGCCGCACCAAACCATTTGGCTAAGCCACAGTACCCTTTCCAAAGGATCCAAATTGATCATATCCAAATGCCAAAAAGTGGCCGATATGAATACGCACTAATCATAGTAGATATGTTTTCAGGATGGCCAGAAGCTTTTCCTGTCATTAATCTCACTGCTAAGACCACAGCAAAGCGCCTACTTACCGAAATCATCTGCATATATGGAGTTCCTGAGGTGATTGAAAGTGACCAGGGAACATCCTTCACCTCGTTGCTAACCAAGGAGATCTGGGCAGCACTGGGGGTGACCCTTGCATTCCACACACCCTATCACCCACAGAGTAGTGGTAAGGTAGAACACATGAATGGCACCTTGAAAGCCAGAATGCTTAAGATGGCCCAAGAAACTAACCTACGCTGGCCGGAAAGTCTTCCCATAGTACTATTTAGTGTAAGGTACACTCCAAGAGGGAGATTTAGCTTATCCCCTTACGAGATTTTATTTGGTACAGCACCCAGGCTAGGCTGTTATTTTCCTCAACAACTTCAAATTCAGTCAGACGCAATGGTAGATTATATAACTGCACTCTCTCATGCCTTGACCAAAATCCATGCACAGGTGTTTTCTTCTATTCCAGATCCAGAATCAAACACAGGCACACATAAACTCCTTCCTGGTGACTGGGTAATGGTCAAGAAATTCCTGAGAAAGCACACTCTTGAGCCAAGGTTTGATGGTCAATTCCAAGTCCTATTGACTACGTCTACCTCGGTAAAATTGACTGGGAAGAATACCTGGATACACGTCTCGCACTGTAAGAAAGTTCCTGATCCAGAGGAAGCAGATCCCGCTAAACTCTGAGCTTACTGTGTCTATTTCTGCTGCTAGGCCTATTAAAGGCCCAACAAGTTGCTATCACCAAAGATAATCGTGTTTACACATTCTGGTATAACTCTTCAAACACACATGTAGCTACTTTTACCTTTGATTACTGTGATATTGTTCCTTGTACTTTTCCACAATCACAACACTCAGCAATATATAAAGACATACCCATTAGAAAGGACCCATACATTTGTGTGACAGGTGACCATTGGGGACATCTGTGCAGTACCTGGAAAGCAGCAGGTTGGAACATAGGCCGACCATGGGGCTACAGACCACAAAGTGCCTTGGATAGGGTGGACAGACCTTTGAAACCCTTATTACACAGAATGACCTTATGTAAGCCAACAAGGTCTACCCCAATGAAACTTACCTTAAACATAGAACATCCCAGCCCAGGAGACACTGGAGAGTAAGTAATGGGGATGTACTGGAGAGAGTGGGTGGCTCATATAACAAGTTGGGGACCTTCTATTTACAAGACTATTTACATCACCTGACTGGGTAGACTCTACACACATGATCACTAACCCTCTAAAACCACACATTAAAACTCTTAAGGACATGGTGGCAATTGCCAACCCTACATTCGAGGACACTATGGCTGTGGAGACCGGTTTTTCGGATACCAACCTATGGCTTGAGTGGATGAGGTATAATACTAATTCACACAATAAAACTAACTATTATGTCTGTGGCGGGGCCAGACCCCATCTGAGTACAGTGCCTTTTAATCTACCCCGATGTTGAGATGTGTTTTCTAAGCCGCTATGTACAATCAGCCACAAACTCATCAGTACCTCCCACTACCGTATTGGTAAATCAAATCAAGTCCTTGGGAGACATTTATTGGCTATGATCTAAAATGACTGGCCTGTAGTGGGGAGAATGCACTCTGACCAAAGCCATCATACCTATACATATAATTTCTGGTAACCACCAAGGCCCACTTGATTCCCCACACACGTACTTCAGGATAAAAAGAGAAACCCCTATTCAAGGTAGTTTCAACCCATATATATCGATGCCATAGGTGTACCAAGGGGGGTACCAAACGAGTACAAAGCCAGAGTTGAGGTTGCGGCAGGATTCGAATCCTTGATCCCACTCATCACCGCTAACAAGAATGTTAACTGGATTAATTATATCTATTATAATCAGCAACGTTTTGTCAATTATACTAGCGATGCCCTTCAAGGCTTGGCAGAACAATTGCAGGCTACCTCCGAAATGACATTACAGAAACGAATGGCTCTAGATATGATCCTAGCAGAAAAGGGGGGCAAGGGGGGTGGTAAAATACTCCCTGACACTATGACATGCTGGACCTTCATTCCAGATAATACAGGCCCCAATGGTAAAGTAACCATGGCCATAGAGAAATGAAAGTCTCTCTGACAAATTAAAAAATAACTCAGGGGTCTCCAATTCATGGGACAGATGGTTGGGATGGATGGGTGGATGGCAGAGAGTTCTCTTTCAAGTAGGTATGGCAGTTCTTACAGTAGTGATTCTCCTCCTCTTCCTGGTTTGCTGCGTGATTCCCTGGGTGCAAAGGTACTTACAAAAGACTGTAGACCAGACCATTGACCACACCACACCTACATTCCTACATCAAGATATTGACGATATAGTCTGTGACACCCCGCACACACCTCTTCAGTCCCACCACCTCAAAAGGACAACTACTTCTTTATAGGGACAGCATATGTACAGCGTCTGTCTCCACGGGTAGGAGTCTGACGCGGAAGATGTAGTGGGTTAGCCACTATGGGATACCTGCGCACTGAAGCGTTCGAGGCTTGTTCAGACAGATGAGCTACAGCCAAGTAGGGACATTGTTAGGGTCAGTTAGTAGTTGTCTCTTTAGTAAATAGTCATTTTAAGGGGGGACTGTTGTGGACAAAAATATTAACCAAATTCATATTAATAAAATGCCTATTTACTCAGCATAACCACAATCAGCATCATTCAACCTCATATGTGATTTACCTAAAATGGCCGCTAGGGAGTTTCCCTTTGACATCGAATAACACCCTCATTAACAAGATGGCGCTGGAATCTGGGGACCTCCAAGATACCAGTGACATCACACCCGGTACGAAGAGCATTAAATGAACCACTTAACACCTAACCAATTATTGATGTATTATTCCATGTTATCTCTGACAATGCATATGATGTAATTTTGCTTTATAAGGGGTATGCCGTCCCCCCAGAATAAACATTCCTCAAGTTTTTCATTAAACCAAAACTTGTGTCTGTTGTGAATTACTTCAGGAGCGTGTACGCATCTTTTTAAATTTGGCTGGGGGCCGATACGCAAGATAATCAGTTGATTGATTGATTCCACATCAGGTATAAGTTCTCAAAGACCACACACAGTCTTTAAAAATAATATCGAGATTGGGGGGCGGGGCCTGCCCGCCATGCTGACCGGTCGCATGAGGGAGAGGCTCCTGCAGAAATATGGCCTTCTCGACCGATAATCTGGGCTTACAGCCTATATCAGAGCTGGAGGGGAACAGCAAGGTGCCGGAGCTGAAAATGGCGCAACAGCGGGCTCCAAGATCGGGAGTTTTGGGGCCCCACGGGTCCTACAAGGCTTTGGAGCTTGCGGCCTCCACGTGAGAGGGGCGGGATGGACGGCCGCCACCCTGCCTACTTGCCTGGCAGGCCGCCACATGACAGCTCTGGGGCACACCTCACAGGCCCCTTCCCCCCCCCTCTGGACCGGGGGGGATATCCCGGTCCCCACTGGGGGGCAATGAAGCGATCACCGCCAAAACCTGCGGAGCGCACTCTGAGGCCCAGGACCTAAAATGGCCGCCACACTGCCTCTCGGCTATCTGATCAGCACTTCACCTCCTAAAGGGGACTGGAGCTCCAGCGAACAGGCAACCAGCAACGGGGTTCACCTGCCCAACCCTCAACCAAGACAACATGGCATCCCAACAGGGTAGGGCTACACAGTCCCCAGCTACCCACCTGCCGCAACACGTCCAGAACAAGAGAGACAAGTGCGGGCGCCAGCCATAAGGCGAGACAGGAGACCACGACATGACCAGCACCGGGCACTGATGATCGGCTCACCGACACACTACACCCTGCGTTATCACATGAGCACAGCAGAAACACTCTAACCCAGGAAAGCAGGCATACCTCTCAGCCCACTGTCTCCAGCAGCCCGACGGAGCAGGACAAGGGGAACGGAGTGACCTACATGCAGGGACCCAGTGGACACAAATAGTTTGCAAATTTGTGACTCTCACATTTATAATGCATTTTTACTGCTCTAAAACACATAGTTTGCTATATGCTTTGCTTTACTTGTTTTTATGCTACATTCTAATTCTCTTGCAAATACTATGTGAAGATGATGTAGGCAAATGTAATAAGCAACTGTTATAAGCAAATGTTAAGAATTCAGATGTTATATGCAAATATAGGATCTCCATCTACTTAAGTGCCTACAGCGATGACTCAGCTAGCATGTACCTACTCCTGTGGATCTAACTACCTACTATAGCCAATCTAGCAACGTCAAGCATAAACTGTTATACACTTGTTTCATTTAATTTAACTCTGTTAGTTAAGCTAGACACGCTCGGTTAGTTAAGCTAGAAATGTTTTTTTAAAACTGTGCGATTTTTCATGCCACTGCTAAACATGTATTAATCCTGCAATACGCTGTTGTGGCGTCTTTTTGAAACCTTGTACCCACCCGCACAACAAAAAAAAAAAAAAAAAAAATAATATCGAGATTGCAATTCTTATGTCCATTTTTATTTTTCATGGATTTTGTTTTTTTTTGGTCTACTCAAAACCTTCAATAAATTCTGATTTGAGGAAAAATATTGCGACAAAGCGAAATTACTACCCAAAGGGTGAAGCTGAGAAACAGTGCTATAAACGCCTTCCAGGGGTCTAACTATAGATGAAATTCATAAAGCGGTGAAAGATGCACTGGTGAACTGAAGTAGACAACAAAGAAGGAAATATGATCTAAAAAAGAAACATCCCATTCCACATTAAAACTCTTGGGAAATCTTGTTTCTAAACACAAATCTACTACATCTCTCTCCAAGAGCAGGTGAAAAAGGTCACTCCTTAAACGCCATTCAACCTTTTCTACTACATGAAAAGCAGATGTAACGTTTGTCCCCTCCCGTCCCGTTTTTCTTTTTTTTCTTTCATATTGAGTTACCAGGTGCTTTTATTTGAGATTGCCTTATTCAATATATGTATTAATATATATATATATATATATATATATATATATATATATATATACTTTAACCCTAATATCATTCTCGATGGGAGCCTTGTTTTTTTTTTTTTTTTAAATGGATGAGTACTATGCTGTGGACAGCTGTAAATGTGACGTTATCAAATTGGATTTCTGGAAATCAGATTTATTTTTTTAAATTGCATTTTGCATGCGGTTTTCCAGTGCAGCTCTCACTTTGGTACACTCCAGCAGTGTAAATTGTTGTGAATTTAAATTTTAGGTCAAAATATTTATGAATAGACTAAAATTGACAACCAGAATTCTCCCAATTTAGCTATTGTGGCATAAATATTAAAGTCACCATTTAGTAAATATTAAACATATTATGAATGATCTCTTTATGAACTAGTATTCTCAATTACACGGCTAATTTAGTCTTTGTTGTGGACAAAAATATTAACCCAATTCATATTAATAAAATGCCTATTTACTCAGCATAACCACAATCAGCATTATTCAACTTTTTATGTGATTTACGTAAAATGGCTGCTAGGGAGTTTCCCTTTGACATTGACTAACACCCTCATTAACAAGATGGTGCTGGAATCTGGGGGAGACCTCCAAGATACCAGTGACATCACACCTGGTAGGAAGGGCACTAAATGAACCACTTAACACCTAACCAATTATTGATGTATTATTCAATGTTATCTCTGACAATGCATATGATGTAATTTTGCTTTATAAGGGGCATGCCGTCCCCCCAGAATAAACATTCCTCAAGTTTTTCATTAACCCAAAACCTGTGTCTGGTGTGAATTACTTCAGGAGCATGCACGCATCTTTTAAAATTTTGCCGGGGGCAGATACGCAAGATAATCAATTGATTGATTGATTCCACATCATTGGCGCCCAACGTGGGGCACCGGGTTTTGCCAGTTCGGACGGCCAGAAACTGGGACCGGAGCAGATCTCCGGAAAGTGGGACAACCGGAGCCTGATCACCTCCTAAATACAGTGGTTTGTCTGTATTCTCCTGTTTTGTGTCGGTCTGTCTCCGTGTCCACTTCCGGCTTCCAGAAGGCTACAAGACAGGTAATCTCTTATCCGGTGCCTTTTCAAACGAACCTGTCGATTGTCTATCTGCCTCCTGAGTGTTTGTGTGTGAGTGAGACGGCTGGTGTGTGGTATATGTTTTATTATTATAGCTTGACTGCCTAGCGGGCAGGGAACGCATCCGCCCGGTGAGGGGCTGGGAATTTATTATAGCTTGACTGCATAGCGGGCAGGGAACGCATCCGCCCCGTGAAGGGCTGGGAACCGCCTGGAGAAAGGCTGGGAATTTTGTCGTACTGTTCAGAGCAGAACAGGGTTTTATTTACTGTTCAGTTGTTACTATGCTCGTTGTTATATTGTTCTTTATTATATTATAGTTTTTATTCAATTGTGGCCACAGTGTGGGTACCCTTGCTGTGTTTGTGTGTTGTGTGGCTCATCCTTGATTCCGGATTATGTGCACATCTCTACATATGTGACTCTTGTAAATGTCTTCTGATTAGTCTCTCCACGTTCACCTTTTCCTTCATTCTCTACCTCTTCTGTACTTTTTACCCAGAGCTGTGTTAGTCACCCACGCTCGCCTGCTCAGATCCGTGGCCACCATCTCGGGTGGGCGGATCCCGTGACTAGTCTACGTTTAGGGAAGACGCACGAAGATCAATTCCTCGTGGCAGTCGAGCACTGTAGACATTCCTTCTTTTTCCTCTCTCTCTGTCCCTTTTACGTGGGAAGCCTTGTTTGGTAAAAATGGGACAAGAACACGCCAGACCTTCCAAAGGCTACTTAGCTTGTGACATACTTAAGGAGAGAGCAGGAGAAGAGGCTATGTTAAAAATAAAGAAAATAGCAAAGATTTTTCTTCCAAATGTCACCCAGTGGTAGATTACAGCCAGAATTTTGGAGGAAATTGCTTATTGACAAAGAGGGCTTATTGTTGGATAATGGTTTAACGAAAGCCATGGAGGCTTGGTATCGGGTGGCAAGAGGACTCAAGGGTTGGTTAGAGAAAGAACTAGATTTTGGAGGACAGTAGATTTATGTATATCACAGAAATGTTTGTAATGATGATTCATCTCTTGATGTTCCCCAGCCACCGCCCTATGATGGCACCCAACACACTGTGAAAGAATCTGGCTCCGCCTCCCTCTGTTTTTCCCACTGCTCCCACCACATTCCCACCTTCCTCTGTCATTCCTACTGTTCCCGTCACTATCCCACCTCCCTCTGTCATTCCTATTATTCCCACCTCTCTCCCACCTCCTACCGTCGTTCCCACTATCCCAGCCCCTCTCCCACTTCCCTCGAGTCCCATCTTTCTTACACCTTCCTGTCCCTCTTCTACCTTCCTCTATCACTTCTTCCTCTATCACCCCTCTCCCACCTCCCTCTGTCATTCCTTCTATTCCATCTCCCCTTTCACCTTCACCCATTGCCTCCCCTGTCACCCCTCTTGTTCCTCTCCCTGTCATTCCTTCTATTCCTGCTCCCCTCCCGCCTTCACCCATTGTTCCCCTTGTCACATCTCCCTCTGCCATATCCCCCTTCACCATTCCCACTGCTCCTGCATCTCCCTCTCCTCTTCCCTCCCAGTTTCAGCTTCCCCTCCCCTTCCAGCCTCCAATCCCGTAGTCCCTCCCTCCCTTGATCTTTCATCACTAATTTCCGCCCTCTCTGCTCCCTCTCCTCTCCCCATCACCCCTTCCGTCACAGTTTCAGCTTCCACTCCCCTTCAAGTCTCCAATCCTGTAGTCCCTCCCTCGATCTTTCATCACTCATTTCCGCCCTCTCTGCTCCCTCTCCTCTCCCCATCACCCCTTCTGTCCCATTTTCAGCTTCCTCTCTCCAATCCTGTAATCCCTCCTTCCCTCCCTTGATCTTTCATCACTCATTTCAGCCCTCTTTGCTCCCTCTCCTCTACCTATCACCCCTTCCGTCCCAGTTTCAGCTTCCCCACCCCTTCCAGCCTCCAATTCCGTAGTCCCTCCCTCCCTTGATCTTTCATCACTCATTTCCGCCCTCTCCGCTCATCTCCCTCAGCTTACTCAGACCCCGTCACCTCTGGTTATGACTATCACTTCCCCTCCCATCACCCTTCCAACCATTTCCTCTTCCGCCCCCTCACCCAGTCCAGTTACTGTCTCCACCTCCCTCATGGTGGCTCTCAGTTACCCAATCATGATAGTTGGGTCGAATGAATCTGTTGCATCGGAACAACCTCATGCTGTAGGCGCCTCTCCTGCTGCATCAGGCTTTCATCCCACTACCTCTCAATTAGTTACTCCCCAGGCCATTGCTGTTGGTTCCCCCAACTCCGGTGCTCCGGCCACTCAAGCCCCTAATTCACAAGATGCCTTATTCAAGCCCCTAATTCACAAGATGCCTTATTCAATATATATATATATATATATATAAAAACAACAATAAAAAGGCTGCGCCAATAAGAGAATAAAATAGAGTAACTAAAAGTAAAAATTTCCAACGGAATAAGTAAATGCCAAAATAAAAGTTCAACTTAAGTGTCCTTGCGGATAGTCTTTATAGCGAGTGATGCAGTAGTGAAGTCTTCATAAGCTGTATAGGTTCCACTCATTATAGAAGACAAAAAAGGAGAGAGAAGGACGACCAGTAGTGCAGTATTGTATAATTCCAAAAGTGACGTATAGAAAGATAATATTAGAGAACTCACATTTAATAGAGCTTATGTCCAGCTCTAGGATAAAAGCGCATACAGCGGTATGATCCCCGCTTATGGGATATGCTTTGGGTTTCTCTCCGTCAGTGGTGTCCAATTCTCAAACAAGATAAAAGAGAGACAACCGATAGTGCTCACTATTTTAGTGGTTTTAATATAAGTAGATAAAAACGTACTTACAAAAGAGGAGCAGACCGACTGCTCTTGTGTATCAGCATAGGTGGATTGATCCCCACCTTTAGGATTTCTTGGGATGCAGGAGACTTCCGAAGTAGATGTTGGTATATAATAGTAAAATACTAAAAATATACTAAAATATATTAAAAATATATTAAAAAGCCAGGTATAAAAGGAAAAAAGTAATGTGTATATAAAACTAGAAAAAAGAATAAT